ACATTCCTGTTTCAGATGCTTAGTTTCCTTCATAATTTTTATATGGATGGATTTAATTTATTTTCATAGTGTCTGAAAAGTAATTCATTTGTTTTATGTGTGCAAAACATGTGCCTATATTTTATCACCTACTTATACTAATCAATATTTTTTAAAAATGGACGTGACTGTTTTCATTACTAGATTTTTGTTTCCTTGTCCGTGAAAAATTGTTGTACACTTTTCTACTGTTACATGCATTAATTTGTTTTAACAAATAGCTCTAATCTCTTGAATTCGTAAAATTGTTGATTGACTACGTTTTTTTGTTTGTTCTGGATAGATTTGTACGCACCCTAGGTTTAAGTTTCACTCGACCACCCAACACGTAACTAAGCTCTGAATGACCATCCATTGTAGATCTACCCTTCACATTTACACAAAACTAGTGGGTGTATTATTAGCCTTATATTGTATGTATGCTGGTATGGATATACATATGTTTGCAAGCTGTTCCTCAAGGTCATAAGGCTAGCTAAAATTGCGTGTGGCCTCCTTACTGTGTTTATACTGTTCTAATGGTAGTCTTAGTCATCTGTTACCTTGATAAATATTCTTTTTATACATATGTATATGAAGTGTGTTTAGTGTACAGTTTTACATTTTCTATATGTGATCGAAATTGATGTGCTAAATTGCTTAGTCACTTTTTACTTTGCCGTTACTAGTCTGAAAGATTTTATGTCGTAATGTTCGGATTTGTGTTTATTCGAGATGATATATATTATACATATCCCCTTTGCAGTATATATGATATGGCCTTAGTTTGGCTGGTTAGTCGTATAAAATTACCACCACGCTGCTACGCCATGACACAGTCTTCCGGTTACTTGACTTTGAATTAATTGATCACTAGTTCAGTCCCCTATCTCAAGAAATTTGCCAACCTGCATAAGACTTTTTAATTCATAGTGTAGCACAGAAACGTTTGTGTTATTGCAAGTTGTTTTCTAATGATGGATATTTTTACTAATCGAAAGTATGTAGTTTGATTCAAGCTGTTCGATGGCTTTCCGGATAAGCCAAATTTCGAAAGAACCTGAAGAGAAGTTGGATACTAATAAATTTACCGAAATACATGAAGATTGGCAGACGTAATTTGGAGTTCTGTATAATGTTACTTCAAGTTGCCATGTTTGAATCAAAACGAAGAAATTAATAACGATAGTAAAGAACTTAAAAAACACATTGAAAATGGAAAAAAATATAATGGGAGATCGTAATGAGAGGATACAAAGTTACGTTAGTAAAACAAAAATGCACAATGTTACGCTGTAAATGCGAATTTTTGGATGAATATAATTAAATGAGGATTAATAACTTTTGATCGAGTTTTGTTCTCTGAGCTGGATGGTTTGATCGTGGAGCTTTCATCGTTAGTAGCATTTGCATAAAAATAGAGCAACTGACCTATTCTCACGACTGTATAATATATTCATTAGCACTTTCATACAATCCCGCTCATAACACGTCGTTTATTATTTATTTTAACACATAGATATTGGTACAAACAGGCACCAAATTCATATGTGCTACACAAATCTCATTCGATGTGTTTGAGGGCTGTGATACTGCCCGGGTGCCCAAACCGAAGCAGGTGGTTTTCTTAGGGAGCCACACCCGGAGCCTTCGACCCGATTTATTGTTTATCCACAAGGTAGTGGAGCAACGTGAGGAGATACAGTCCCATGGTAGCCAGTAACCAACGATTGGTTCATACGCCATTTGTTCCCTTAGAATACTGGAGTCCATGAGCACCATTGGTTTGGAATCCGGGTTTTCCAACTCCCCTAGGTGGACTCTCCATATCCACCAACCCGGTTAAAGCGCTGGACATTCGCTTTTTGTCCTCTCAATTTCGTAAACAACAGTAATGCCATGAGAAGGCAATGAGTAGGACTTCCCTGGTAGAGGTTATATATGCGTGGCCATGTGAGAGCATTTGGATAGGGAGAGCGGACTCTTCCCACTCTCGGCCGTACGAGGGCATTTGATATGCACAATACATCATGCGCCGTAAGATTAATTATCTCAAAACTAAGTGTCTGATGCTTTCATACTAGATCGTATGTTAACAATCCGTGTTCTGCGACAATTTTAATGTAGGCTTACGTTTAAGTGAATTTTTTATCGTTATTGCGTCAAATCTGTAACGTGGTTGTCTTGATATGTGTTTTCTATCAGTCAACCGATGTACATAAATTCATCCCAGTTTCTATCTGGCCATTTAAATAGTGTATTTGAGGGCTAACTTGCACATATTTTCAAATAGGAATATAATGGTTTGATATATTGGAATATTGTTCATTTCTACTGTTTTGTGTACCATGCATTAAAGCGCAAATTTTACTAATTGGTGTATGATATCATTTTCATACATTAAAAATTCTCACGCTGGATCAACTCTGTTTTTGAAACAATGAGAGAAACTAAAAATCTTTTCTTTCCCACTCCCAAAACAAAAATAATGGCCTTATCCTATTATCCGTTAAAATAAACTTAGTGATGATGATTGTCAAACATTCTACTGATTGTGCATTTTTGAAATTGTCACGCCTTAAGTAAGATAGAAGATGCCTTCATTTATAGTAGCTTACTAACATGTGTGTGTGCATTTTCTGATTATTTTCCTTCTAGTGATTATATTATAATAAGGACTTTTTTATTCACTTCTAAAGTTACTACTAGTAACTACTATTAAAATGAATTGTAGAAATACAGTTATTTATTTCTTTTTGTTGTTTCAATACAAATAGCAAAACCTACCACACATATGGATTAGGTTCACAATCATGGCGCCATTCAGTGTAGTGTATCACAAAATATACATTTCTTAATCTATTTTAGCCTTATTAAATTTTTTGTTGTTTCAAGATAAGAATTATACAACACTGAGGACAGAATTGGCGCCAATATATATATATATATATATATATATATATATATATATATATATATATATATATATATATATATATATATATATATATATATATGTAAAACCATACACACGTATTTCTACATGCGACGGATTTAGTGATCTTTAAAACTACCTATGTATGTCAAATAATAATGTATGAAATTTTAATGCTAAGATTAACAGTTATTTAATCCATAGGTGGTGGCACCATTTATTAGTTTGTCATAAGATTGGAATCACTTATTACTACGATTATTATTATTATTATTATTAGTATTAGTATTAGTATTACTACCACTTTCATTATTATTATTATTATTATTATTATTATTATTATTATTATTATTATTATTATTATTATTATTATTATTATTATGGAATTTAACGTTTGATCCTTCATTAGGTTACAGAAATGTATATATACGGCAAAGACTTAAATGTTTGGCTTAATGTTATTTGCGTCAACAAGTCTCTAAACCAAAGATTCTTCTTAAGTGTAATTGCAATAAACTCATTTAATGTAATATTGTGCATAGATATTGATGCGAAATATGGGTTACCTTTATCATAAACCATGAAATACAAAGTAATATTCTGCTTAAATTCAATACACCATTACAATATTTATGAGCATACACGTCACAGGAATACCATTTCATCTTGTTTCATATATTTCTTTAATTGTAGTGTGTAAAAATAATAATCACAATAACTTGATTTGTATCTTTCATGTAATCATTATACAATAATTCAACGGTCTTAGCCCCATTTTTTCTCCTTTTCTATGTTCTTGATAAGATCTTTGTCACATTGTGTGAATAATAATTCTCATAAGACTATCAATCTGGTTACGTATGAGGAAAATAAACCCCTCTTTCAAAAATGTGAATGTTAAATTTCCACTAAAATGTTTTGGAAACAATTTTATTGTCTACTGATGATACTTCAGATTTTATAGGTTATGACCTTGTAAAGTTTAGCTAACTTATTATCTTATATTTGTAACTGAGTTGTAAGCAACAGAATACAATCGATGGATTATTGTTTTTTCCTTCTTCAAACAAAGCGTCGTTTGTGCACATTGTTTCATTTTGTTTCCACTTCTTTTAATTTACGTCTTAATACTTCTAGTTTACAAATTGTTAGTCGTATTGACTTATACTCTTTCTTTTAAATCCGTTATTATAATTAATTTCGTTGTTTAATCAATATTTATCTTAGTATTTTTCCCTGCGTGGGTCTGATAAATTACAGTTGAAGTTTTGTGATCGTACATGATTAGTATATTTCGAGCTTGGATAATATGTATTGTAGGGTTGGAATTTCTATCTCATAAATACAGAATACTGAACCGAATGAAATACTATCGTAGTATGTAGATTTCCGAACATATCTTGCTAGTACTAAAATTTTTAACTACGAGTAGGTGGTATGGGTTATAATGCATAATTTTGAGCCAGTCGCTGAACTGTATGTCTCCCTAAAAGTAGTTGTATAGTGTATGCTACTTATTCTGACAGATATAAGTAGTATGTTGCAGCAATCGAAAGGGGAATGACTGCCAGTAGAAGATAGAAGTACAGTGAACTGGAAGAAAATCAGAGAGCAATCGAAATAACAACGGAATTAGAAGAATTATGGAGTATGTAAAGGACAACGCAAAGATGTGCAAATGATGATTTTCATATTTCGCTAAACGACTGTGTGATTTCGCAACAAACAATTTATTAGTCTTCCCCACCAAGTCTTCGTCCACTACACCTGAATTTTTTTATTCATTTGACCTTATTTAATCAAACTAAATGAATGACATGGACTAAATGGTTTTATTCATGAAGCTTATTGTTATATGCCTGTCACAGCATAATAATTTTAAGTGCTTTATCTAAAATACAGAACTGTATCATGTATTACTTGGGAATATATGAATTCAATCTAATGTGTTTATTAAGTTTTACTTTAGTTCGATTCTCACTTTTATTGGTCTTAGATATTTATCATGAAATAAATTACATCATATCTTCCATGTATTCTATTTCAGAAAGTGATCGTCTTACTGCTGAGTGGAAGTATTTAACTAAAGCATTACAAAATGTTCATACTGAAACATTATATGGTGATTTGTATTATTTTTCAAAAGATACCAAATTGTCTAGAATGACATATCATTCTCAGAGAGATGAAATAGACGAAAAAGAAACTGATATATTTTCTTTACCATCAACTATGTCCAAATCTAAAACTGAAACAGATTCATCCCTGAATAGTCGTGAATATATGGGTAGTATGGAGACAATATTACAAACTACTATACCATATACTAGCAGTCAAACATTTTCTGAGCATATTAAATCATCAAATTATATCCATTCAGATAATATTAATGATAACAGCAATGTTGACAATGATAATTATGTTGATATTCTAACTCCTCAAGCTTTATTAGATCATATGGAGTTTTTGATCAAAGTAAGACGACTTACAATAACAGTTGGTTCATCAAAATGGTCTTTTAAAGATTTATGTCAACGTGTTAGTCTACCGTTTGGTGTGGAAATGCATCATTTACAAGTATGTTATTTCTAGTGTATTGAGTAATTTTTGATTTCCCAGTTTTATAATTATATATCTATTGTATTTCTGTGTAATTTTGATCAACCCAATGGAGCTGTGATACTTAGCTTTCAGTATCAGTGTTACTTGCCTGAATTCTACTCTAGTTACCGATATTTAGATAACCAATCAGTACCAGTTACACCCTATACACAGTATATGTTGCATATAGTCTTGCATATACATCTGTGATGTTTTACTGAATTACAATTTATTCTCAACAAGAAATAAAATTGTGTCAAGTAGTATTGTTTTTTGACTTGTTTGTTCTACATATGTTCTTAAACTCAGTCTTTCACTTAACCTAAGAAAATGAGTAGTATCACTAACCCTTGTGTAGTTGGTGCATAGTATGTGAAAGTAGGGGTATTTAATTAGGTTACTCTTTAAATAATCTTCGAGGATTATGGGTATTTAGTTATTTGTTCAAAGTGTAAGATTTGTGGACATAAATAAGTTTATGATACGCATAGTTTGATATTCTTCCAACCATCGTAGTTTTAGTTACTCAAACATTTACATCTTTCATTATTATTATTTTACATTGGTTTACCCATATATGCAACTGTTTGAGACTTTCTGTTGTTGATATTGAAGATTACATTTGATAGAGTTAGGGTCCCAGTATAAACAATAAGGCTGGGATGCAGGTAAATCCAGCTGGTGAGTCTCAGGTGGGATGGAACATGCATCCTGGATTTCGGTGCTAGTCAAAATCCAACATTGCTAAAAACCGAAATGATTAGTTTTCTAAATATTTTAGCTTTTTACTGCGGAGTATTAACCTGTTTAAATAAATGGCTGCTTTCAGGAAAATATGAAAACTTATCAAAATCTATTCTAACGTTCTCGTGTTGTACGATAATGTATAATAGTATGGTCTAAAGTATGACAGATATTCATGGTAATATAGTTAATTATTCAACAAGAAAATTGAACTTTAACCTTGAATATTTAGCTTCTGATTATGTTTAGTGTTTGGCAGATCGCTTTTTGTGAGTTATTTGTTTCCATAAAAATTACTACAGGAGCAATACAATACAAAGAACTATTTTAGTCATATATATATGCATATTATTAAATTGTACTTCATTATTTATTAGGCTTATCTGGATATGATTATACCGTGCATTATTATCACACCATTGGATTGTTTTTGGGAAGGTGCGAAAGTTCTTGGTCCCGAGGAAGCAATGTGGGTCCCTTGGTAAGTATCGTTATATTGTCATCGTTTTTGTATTCGTGACTTGATTTTAATGGTTACTTTGGCTTATCTCTATGATGTCCCAATTTTGACTGAAATGATTGTCGTTCCTTGTTGATATAAAAAATTCTTTTCATCACAAATCAATTTTATCTCTAACCAGTTTTTGGTGATTGAGTAGCTTTTTAGTGATGTTTCTTCTTATTATGTTGTTCATCAACATTATATACTTATCATGTTTTCAGAAATTCAGTCAAAAATTTCTTATATATCTAAAGTGTATGATACTTGATACCATTGTTCTGATCAATTCACAATTGTTACTGTAGAACCTTTTAATAAGTAGTATAGAAGTAATTCACTCTGTTCAAATTAAAATTTTTCCAAACTGATGAAAGATATACACTGTAAATTAAACTTTGAATTTAACCAATATATTAGTTATTTTATATTCTATTCTATATTGTATATTTACGTGAAAATAAATACGTACTCATTTATTTAATTCTTAAGATTTATAGCTAATATTATAGATAATAAATAAAATTGTATAATAACCATCTGGTTTGTTATACGATAACAAACCAGATGGTTATATTATGAAAGATTATTTTTCTCCTCTCTTCATAATTGTATGGTATTCAATTTTTACTCATGAAGTACAACTATTTGCTAATTTTTCTTTGTTCATATTTTTGTTTTTTAAAATTGTAAATATAAAATATTTATAGTGACCTATATATACATTCATAGGTGCTTAAATTCTTATTAATTTAAATGTTTATTTTACTTAATACAAATTAGTTTCACTTTTGATTCATATATTCCATACATATATTACGTATAATAAATTTATATCGAAAATATTAGTTGCTCGTCTCACCTATATATATCATATAATGATCTTGTTATCTCCTTACGTGTAGTGTGTAATGATGAACACTAACAAATCATGACACTTTATTATTGAAGGTAGAAGATATAAGTCTGCGGTTATTCAATCATTTATTCTATTCATTTATCATGTATACATCATTAAACGTTTTATCTTATTACTGGATGTTAAGTTTTAGTTCATAGAATGTAATTAAATTATTGTTTAGTGGATATGTATTGTATAGAGCTGTCGTAATTACTCCACTATGATCTACGATTATTGAATATCATAGACTTTATTATTTCCTATCTAAACCATTCATATTAACAATCTTACTATATCAACATTTTAATGATTTACAAAAAAAACGTAACTTTATGGTTTATAGTTAAGACTAATAGAATTTGCGAAAATAAACAGTTCAAGTTCTTTGTCCTAATGATTATGTCTCACAACCTTTCAATCAAATCAAACATAGTAGTTTAAAATTCACGTTCGTTAAGTTCATAAATAACTCAATAAAACCCTCTATATCTTCACTCCTATTTGATAAAGGATTTGTGTGTGTCTGAATGAAAAGACAATTAATGATGTTAAAGTTCTGAATGTGTTTGTTATGGGCTTCGAGTATGTAATACTTTTTATCAATATCTTCACATAATATTTTATTCTTAACTAGACTATCACTGAAAATCGGGAAACACCCTGTAATTGTTTCATTGTAGCACGGAACTTCTTAACAGTGTCCATCGATGACCACCCCACCATGGGTGATTGAACCCTAAACTTTTGGACTTGTGCGTGAACGCTTGACCTTATGATTTAAACTAGGAAAATTATATAATTTCTAAAATATTTCCTTGGTTAATAATGAAATAATAGTTTTATAGTTTATCATACATTAAATTCTATCGTATTACCTATGCGTTATGTTCCAGTTAATATCTCATATGTAATGAAAAAGCAACTAGTAAAACTTTTATTAACCTAATTTGATCACATGCTAATGCTTGCTTGCTCGATTTTTTTGTCCTTTTTGTTGTTGATATCAGGTTTGATGAACGCACTCTACTTCAATGGACAAACATTGATCCTGTTGGATTACTTCAAGACCTTTCTAAACGCTATGGAAATTATTCACAAACCGAAATTAAAAATCTAATTAATCTATTTTATGATTCTGGTATTAATCATGGCTATTTGAATCGTTCTTGTTTAGATCCATTAGATCCAGCTTGTCCAGTATCAGCTCCTAATTATAGAGGAAAGGTGGGTGTATATGGGCAAGCAACTATTCAAATGTTATTGATTTGATTACATTGTCAGATTTATAAGAAAGGCATCTAAAATCAAACTTTTTAGCTCTTCGATTTATTTCTTTTAAGTTGACATGTAATAATGTCAGAAATGCTACTAGCCTTATCCGAATCATTTTTTATTGGTGTTTATAATAATACACTGTACCGTATTTGATATCCCAGACTTGAATCATCTGTCGAATAATAGGTTGTGTAATTAGTTTTGTTAATTGATGTTGGTTACAAAAGTAACATAATTCTGGTTCAGCTTTTTGTTTTGATCCTTGTATGTAATTCTTTTTAGATTCCTAGTACCTTGTAATTAAAAAACAACATCATAACTGAGTTAACTACTTCCCGTACCAATCATACCAGTATCAAACAAATATTTATCAGTTATTTAATCTAAAAATAAACAGTTTCACAGATAAAAAATCTATTATATTAAATCTTACTTAGTAATTTAAGGCATAAGCCACCGACTATGAATCTCCAACCAACTCTATTCTGGGCTGTTCTTTCCAGTTGTTATCTAGTGCCACTCATGCTTTTGATGTCTGCCTACAATCTCCGGAGTAATGTATCCTCTTTTTCATTCTTCTTTCTGTATTCTAACTTAGGACTTGACTTATGGTGCAGCTTAATGATTTCTTCAATGTGTTTCCCATTTACTTTCTGATTTCCCTTTAATCTGGAAGCTGATTTGTTCTCTGCTACCGTCAATTATTGCTGATTTTGTTTGACCTATTGATCTGGAGTATTTTGTGTGGACAACTATTTATAAATACCTGAAATTTTTTGCGATGATGGTCATGGTGACTCGTCAAGTTTTAGCTCCTTACAATAGAGCTTTCTTGATATTGGTGTTGAAAATTCTGACTTAAGTGTTGGCTGATAGCTCTTGTTACATATAAAATCTACATGATGCACATTCTATTTTTATCCAAGTAGGATATTTCTGTTGTTTCCCTCTAATATTTTCAATTTTTGATATAATAGCGAGTATAAATATTTCTTTGACTTCATTCTGAAATTTTGTACAGGCTCCACATATCTCCAAGATACTTAGTGGTGGTTGTCCAGGATTCGCTTCCAAAATGCTTCATTGGCCAGAGGAAATAATAGTTGGTGGTCGAATTCATACTAATAATAGTTTTGATATACCTTTACATACAAAACACCAAAAAGTTTCATTTGATTTAAATCAAAATAAAACTAGATCTTCAAAATCTTCTGATCACTTTCTTTTATCTTCGTCAGTTAAATTCAATAAAACCGGTCAGGGTTCAAAAAATCTTTCTTATCTAATAAAAGCTAATTCACTTCAATCACTTATCTTGTTGAGATCTCCAAGAGATTTATATGAGGCAGTTAGACGAAATGATCCATACAAACATGAAGATTGGACATTGGATGATGCTAGACATGTTTTACGTGAATGGAGACGGAATCTAAGACGTGTAAGTTATTTGATTTTTCCCCCACTAGAAATTAACTCGTTATACTTGATTTGTTAATTCTAAATTTCTGTTTATTAATCAACACAATTTTCATTCATTTTTTATTGTAGTTGATAATAGAACACAACACTGGTTTACAACCTAATGTTGAATGGCGATTTTTCGCATTTACTAGCGCTTCATTACATGACCTCTTACAAGAGATTACACTCCGTCTAGGACCTCTCACATTGATTGGCTGTCTTTTGTTAGTGGTAAGTATTTGCTATTGTTCTATTAATCTAGATTATGAGTAAATCTAAAGCTATTCACTTAAATTTATATGCACTGATTGTTTGAATCTTCCCATTAATGTTAATGTCTGGAATCTATCGGCCTCTTTCGGTATATATGCCTTCTCTACGAATCGCTTTGATATTGGCAGTAATTCGCACGCATTTTTAAGCACAGATGGATGGTAGGTAGCAATGGAATCCTGAACTCACGTCTCATTCTGTTTAGGACTCATCATCTGGATGTACCTGCATCCTAAAGCTAATGTTCACTCGTAAAAATGAGGATATATTTTTGTTCATTCTTATGGCCACTATTTGTTAATGATATGGACAGTGTTTTCACACCTTAAAGGTTATATATATATATATATATATATATATATATATATATATATATATATATATATATATATATATATATATGAACATTGATGGTAATTTACTGTGTCAAATTAAGACATACGCTCTAAATTCTTATATTAATTTTTATATTTTCAACTGAGTAAGCAATTTTAAGCTAAAGATTTCTTATCAATCAGTCATTAATACTGAAAATGAATTCACTCTAAGAAATTCTTGAATAAAACAACCGTTTACCTTGGTACTGTTTGTGTTTATCAACTGTTGTCATTTTTAACTGAGAAACGTTTGAAAACCCTAAGTTATTCATATAAAAGAAAGTAAATATATTACAAGGATTTATTTTATATTAAAAACATACTCTCGTTTATTCACTTTACCAGCTGTTCTGCACTTCCACCCACTTTTTTCAAAAAAACTTTTATTACTTAAGTACATAATTGTTTTTCTTTGTAAAAATGCATCTACTATGCACAGTCATCATGACATTGTATGGTTAATGAATAAAGTGTGCTGTACATTTTTCACATTTCTGTGTAATAGTCATCATTTTCATCGTCATTATCATCTCAATCATCATTATTACCATCATCTATAACCATGTATATGATATACATGTAGGTATTGGTGTAAACAAACTAAATAACAACCTTTTGTGTTATTATCCATCATACATAGCATTTTGTTGTATGTTGGTGTGTAATTAGGACAATCAATGAATTGCTTTTTCCTCCCATTTTCTAATGCATAAATTACAAGAAACAGTTTTACTAGAATCTATTTTGCTTTGATTTGGAGAAATCATGCATTTTTGTATATTTTTATTCTCTGTATAAAATACAAGATATGGTTATAGTGTAGAGGGCGTTTATGACACTTGGATGAATATATATAATGATTATTTCATCTTTACTAATTCGATTTCTTTATTTTGTACTTTTGTATAGTCTTAGCAACAAGCTAATGATTATAATCTGACTATTCTCCATATACATTGACTGTTGCTTCGAGTCATTTTGATAAATACCGACTACTTGGTGTTATAATTGCTATCAGTAGTGGTTAGAGACATCGAGTGACGTGGCTGAGAACCGATCGTTATTGTACAGATGCATTTAATCTTTATCTTACTATAGATCTTGAACTTTAGTATTCTTTCGTACATACCTTTTCATTCTGCTATTTCAAACCTCGTTTTCAGTCTTCAGTCTTTCTCATTATCATTGATGCCTCATTATTTCTACTAATTTATGTTCATCTTGTCGTGCTAATGTGTTATGGTAAATTGGGCCAACGCATATCTTTAACAGGTTGTACGTTGATGATAACTAACCAACAGTAGAAAACTTAGAGGAACATTTGTAAACTGAGAATAAATAAATTTTGTCACTACAAACAGTATACATCGGTCTGTTTCCAACCCTAATGTAATACTAAAACCACATTATTTCAATTTACCGTATATGTTGATACATACGTCAACATATCAATCAACCTCTTGATCATTCATCATCCAAATAAGCATACATCTATCAGTTAAAGTACATGTTTCAGTTTAAGCAAGACAAAACAAGGATACCTCTTTCTCTCTCCATATATATATGGTTATAGTTATAATTGTTATGTTGTTTGAAATCTTTATTACATTTTCTTTTTACGTTACCTTCAAAAAAATCATCTTCACCTCCCTATCTAACTCGTATGTACATGAATAGTAAAGTCATTTACTAGCTAGAACAAAAATAAGAATTATAATCATTCACTTGTAAAACCTAATAATAATACTCATTCATTATTCAACACTTCATGTTTCAATGACGTAGAAGAATTCTGTGCTGAAAATATTACGTTAAATTTTTCTCGTTACAACACATTTTTCTATAAATCTGTCTATCGGTCAGTAATGCTAAATAAGCTGTGCAATTATTGAAATTGAATTTTTTTCGACATTATGCGACTGCCAAAATGTTGTTCATTCCTATCCCTTATGAGGATATCATAGATTTCTACTTTCCTTGTATATTGTAAAGATAAATTTTCCTTTTTTTTAGTTTTAATTATTTAAATTTTTCCCCGTCTTCACTTCAATATAGTTTCTTTATGGCGTTGTCTGTCTTCTTGGTTGGCGAGATCCTGTTCGTTCACAGTGTTGGTTGGCATTATGCGGACTAATGATTATAGCGTTGTCTTCAGTGGCTGGATTGGGAATATGTGCAGCTGTTGGTATTCCTTTCAATGTATTAACCATCCAGGTAGAATTATTAAAATGATCACCTGTATGTTTTACAGTTAATTATTGATAATACAACACGGTTACTCAGCTGTTTCAAACCCTCGATTATTATTTCAAGATGAAAACTTAGAGTATCCTGATCATTTAATTATATATGTGCTAAATTGTGAGCTCAACTTCTCACGTGACTACAGAGATAGGTTGAAAAATGTCAAAACTGATCATGTTATGGCGTAATACTGTGTATTTTGTCCATCTAGCTTTAACACGAATTTCGGTCGTTCAATATCTAGACTGTCAGTTTCCTATCTAAACTAATCATAAATTTTCTCTATCACACCAGTTTGGGGTAAATTAGTCTGTCAACTTGATAACCAATGCATTTTTACTTGAATAACGACCACTAACTATCTCATATTCATTTTTTACATTTAACTTGTAATACTATATTAATAAGTGTTTTTGGTCATTTGCTAGACTTCCCATTAAGACAATAGAAGCCTAGTAACTCGTGCTAACATTTTGTCAGGTAAACAATTAATGTTTAGCAAATTTTAGGTTGCGTACTCTATTCTTTTTATATATTAGGACAATTAATGTCCCCCCTCCTATGATTATCCATTTGGGGAGGATAATTTTTATGTGGTGAACGGTTTATCTAAACTTTTTGCTTGCTGTGAAATTCTCTGATAAACAGAGCTGCCTGCTTTAAGATCTTTTTTAATCCTTCTATTTGTTCAAAACTATCAATAAGTAAAGTGTTTCATTTTCCTTCATGTCTTATATATATTTACAGGTATTACCTTTTCTTCTCCTTGGTCTGGGTGTAGACAGTATATTTGTTTTGACCACTTGTCATGAATGTTGTATCGCTCGACGTGTTGTCTTGTTGGCAAATTCATCACCACCTTCGGATTTGGTTAGTGATGTGAATCCCTTTTTTTGCTACACCTTTTCTGTTTTTCGTTTCTGGGATAAATGAAATTTATGTATTTCATTACATTGTATGGAATATTTTGAAATGATTCAGAGCAGACGGCTACATAATATTCTGGTTAATTATGATAAAGCCAATTAATTAATATTATAACATAAAAGTAGTCTTTCTGTTAATTTTAGCCAGGAACGCCTGCCAAAGTATGTATCTCTTTATATGTAATTATAATCAGTCGATTCATATTTTTTTCAATAAAACAATCAATTTATGTTAGATTTTAATGTTAAATATTGTTAGCATATTCTTAGAATAAAAATAATTGAACCTTCAGTTTTCATCTTAGAAAAATTGGTTGAAGTTACTGTAACGAAGAATGACATCGTCAAAAATATATAAACGGCGGATTTTCAAGAAATGAGTTTCGTGGACATGACTTTTTATTTGTAGGAGATATTTATCACATATTGATTTTGCTTGATGAAGTAGTCATCGTCAGTAATATTGAATTGTCATTTCAATGTACTGTGAACTAATTGGAGTTGTACCATTCAAAACTGACCTAGTGGTTTTAACGGTTGTGTTGGCCGAGATCTAAGAACCATGAGTTTGATTCTCGGTGGAATTCCATACTGGCAAAAAACAGCTGTTCAGTGCTTCCTGGTTTTCGATAGGGCTCCAACTAAGAGTCATCCGTGACGAATATCAATACATAGAACAGACTATTTGAATAAATAAATTTTCTTCTTTGTATGTATCATATAACAAGGTGTATTTGTAATGTTGTTTTACACATGTATCATTATTGTCCACTAGATTTTCCTTTGCATTTTTTTGAATTTTAGAGCACTTCGTCGTCAGCATTCTCCTTATCTTCATGCTCGTCGAAATCATCCAACCCTATCCACGTATTATCTGTACATGGTCCCAGTCTACTTTTTGGTACAATATCTTTAGCTGGTGCTTTCTTTTCTGCTGCATTTATCCCCGTTCCGTTAATTCGCCAATTCTGTTTACAGGTAAAAAGATATGACAAACACTATTAAACGAATTTCTCTATGATTTTTTTCACTGTACTTATATATAAGTAATTTTCTGTTATTTTCTTTGTGTATTATGTATATATATATTCATATATATGTATAATAGCATTAAAACATTTTCCATTGAATGGATGTGTTTTCACATTAAAAGTAGTATAGGTACAAACGTGGTATTTTGTAGTAAACAGATCATCAGCAATATTTTTGTCTCTGTCCGCCTGTCTGTAACTAGCACGTTTTACTTTGACCATAGTAGAAAATCTCATCTGGACCACCTAGTAACATTTTAAATCCGATTTGTAAGACACTATTGTCTATTATTCCTATATATATATATATATATATATATATATATATATATATATATATATATATATATATATATATGACTTAAATATTAGGATTGTATAGAAAGACACCTAATCTGTACATTAGTTGACACTGATACATGACTACACATTCTATACCTTTTAGTTTTAGTCTTTTTATAAAAATAATTCTTTTTTATAAATTTATTTTCCGAATGTAAAGACCACCCTACAAGTTGTTCATCTCTGATCAGTTTTTTAATGTGTATTATAACAAATACTTTTATCTCTTCTATGTTCTTTCCTCCTCTTATCTCTTAGGTTAATTTAAAAAGAATCCTTAAAAGCATTTGTTAGATTGTCGTCTAAATTGGCGACTAATTTACTGCACATTATCACCTACCACATAAGCTGATTTATATACATATACACACACACGCATATAATTCCATACAAATGGACAACTAAGAAAATCCTCTTTATCTGTTTAATTATGTCTGTAAATTTAGTTGTAGGTCGAAAAAGAGTACATTCGATATTGGTGGTCTATTTTAAAGTTTCAAACATTCATATATATACATACTTACATAAGGGTAGATAATCACCAGGACAGAAATTTCAAATTTTATGTAAATTGTAAATTTTTCTGTCCAACTTTATTGTACATTTTATCTTAACTTGATATTTATTTAGTACGAATTCGACGGCCACATTGAAATTATTTTAACAAATAAAAAAAATCAACAACTTCCAAATACCAATTTTGTATCCGTGTTAAAATACTCGTTAATTGTAATCTGATATTATATTGTAGACTATAAGTAACACTTGAATTGAATGCACTATAAATACTTAGTATTCTATAATCACCCATTATTTTTTTAATGTTTTCGATAGATATGCTGATATTTTTTTCAAAATCATAAGTATTATAATATTACGTAACAGTTATAAGACGTAATTTTTGCACAATGAATTTCATTAAAGTTTCGTTTTGTTTTTAGTTAATAGAATGTATAAAACACACTTATTTTAATGCGATTTAAAATCTGTTAAATAAATATCACTATTCATAGGTAAATGTTATCTTTCATAATGTAGTCAAATCAATGATACTTCTATTGTTAAAACCCAAAATATACAACTATATTGTTTGGTTTACTGTAACGTATAATTTCTGAAGAAAATCAATGTAAACTTTAAAAACATTCATGTATATGTGTCATTTTAACTTGGGTGGGAAATTTTCACTTTTCTCTTCTCATTTCTAGTTTCTTTTTTTCCTTGTCATAGTAACCACAAGAGTTGTATACGTTTTTCATTGTTGATTTTTGATTCCATGTCTTTATTATATTGTTAAAATTTATGTAGAAGAAAGTATACATACATTTATTATTCAAGAATCAGTTTTTCTTTTGTTCTAGTTCTAGTATATAATTAATCAAGAAAATTTATTGTTTATGTAACTTGCCACTGTGTTGCCGAATGCTAGACAAATATTTTGCTGTATAGAACTGATTTTTTGTTTTTTGATATTGAAGATATAAGTTTGTTTAACTTGGAAATTTCTCACAATTTCATCAGTCGGTTTTTATTCACGGTACAATTTATTAATTATCAAATGAAATTAATAATTTTTTTCTGATATGACAAGAACAAGAATAGTGAAATAATTCAAAATAAAAGTGAATATTGTTTAGCGTCCTGGATCGTAGTCAGTTTCTTACTAATATAGGTATTTTATTTTTGCCTAGCATATTTCCTAACATTTAAATTAAATATAATGATAAATAATAACAAGTACATATTGATTTAGTACTCTCTTAAGTTATTCATTTGTCAGCTAAATTAACAGAATATCATTTAGAGTTTTAATAGCAGTCAATGGATGATGAGGAAATTTTAAAGTACCTTGTTTTAATGTAGAAGAGGAATTAGAGTCATAGGTGGATGAGAGGTTGAATGTATTGTTTTTGCACGTAAAGTTCAAACTTGAATTAGTGAACTGATCTTCTGTTGCGAAGAAAGTCAAATGGTTTTTTTTACAGAGACCTATATACAGAAAATTGGTTTAAAGTAGTCAGTATAAGAATTGTCATATCTGGGTCTCTTTGAGTAGAAAGAAAAACTTAATCCACTCTTTATCTTTGAGGGCTAGGTGAATATTCTCTAATAATACAAAAGATGACGTATTACTTCAGCTTCAACAAATACTCATCAGAAATGGCTATGCACTTTGATTCATCGATAAAATCTTAACATCAAAGCTACAACCTGGAAGCTCACCAACAGTTCAAAATAAAACCCTTTTTATGAATATTGAATCTAAAAGAGATACATTTGCGGAAATCTTAAATAACCGAATTCCAAAATCTCTTAGTAAAACTTTACGCTCTGTCAAGCTTTGTATTGTCTTCTCAAGCCGCTCTACCGTTCATGAATTTGTTATGGATAAACTTCCAATTTCGGCTACATGGATGTGGATCTTTAGGTTTACTTGTTGTTTTGGATGACGTTACATTGGCTGCACAAAGCGAATACTTTCTAAACACATCTCAGAACACTATCCGGTATGGGTTTCAAGATGGGGTTACAAAACAATCAATACAAGAGCACCCCATAAACTCTGGTTACGTTGATCCAAAGAGAATCGTCCTTCAAACTGACCTACATAGTGGAAAGAATGGAGTCAAAAGGGCTGTTGAATCTAAAGCTTATGCACTGCTGAGATGTTAGCGACACACCTTGCTCAAACTTGAACTTTGCACGCAAAAACAATACATCCAACCTTTCATCCTTCTATGACCCTAATTCCTCTCCTACATTAAAGCAAGGTACTTTAAGATTTCCTCATCATTTTTTGGCTGCTATCAAAACTCTAGATGACACTATTAATTTAGCTGACAAAGGAACAACTTATGATTAACATAATGACTTGGCATAAAAATGCAATCGATTTTACTTATTGTATACATTCATTTTTACAAAAAATTCTGTTCCTTTAGTTTTCATAATTTCTAGTTGATTTATTACGGAATTTATCTTATCCTTTATTATCACAGGCTGGTATTCTTATTGTTGTACAATCGATCAATGTATTTATGCTCTTCCCTGTTCTATTACAACTTGATGCCACTCGTCGTAATCAAAAGCGTTTAGATGTGTTGTGTTGTTTACGTCAACCGGAACTAGAAACAGCGATTATGTCAAATCCCCCCAAATTAACCACTTTTTGTCAATCTGAATCATGTCATTTACGACCATTTAATTACTATTCTGGTAGTAAAAACTTAATTCCTAGTCGTTGTCATCGTCATCATCATCACCACCATCATCACCATCATCATCATAATCATCACTATCATTGTCGACATTGTCGTTATATAAACTCAAAAAAATTAACAGGGGGTAATCGTGATATTTCTATTAATTTACCAGAGACATGTATCAGTTCTGGTTTTTCACATCCAACTATACAAGTTAATGTAGTTAATCATCTTTCTAGATCAAAACGTTCTTCGTCTTCTTCCAATTTTAATAATGAAGTTACCAAAGCAATTGTCAAGACAACAGCTAATTCTACAGCTAATACTGTTCAAACTACAGTTACTGTAACTGGGAATCAAGATAAAGAAACAAATACTACTAATAATATTTCAGAGTCTAGTGGAACTGAAAATGTATCAGTTTTGGAGGTTAGTTGTATAATAAAACTACATTTTATCTAGATATCTTTACATGTTACAATTATATTTTTAGTTATTTCGTAATGAATAACAAACAATAATAGTACTGTCGGTCAACTACTTTTTAAGTCTAAATCATTCTAGATATGTTATGCAGTGCATTATCTGTTTAGTAACGCAAATATACTATGAATTTACTTCAGGATATAGATCAACTGAAAACAATATCAGGGTAGGAAACTTCTTTGAAAAGTGATACATTTTAAAAATATATATATATATATATATATATATATATATATATATATACTTTTAAAATGTATCACTTTTCAAAGAGGTTTCCTACCCTGATATTGTTTTCAGTTGATCTATCCAAGCATAGAACGCTGGGCATGGACAAAGAAAAAGTTGAAGGCGTTTTAATTGTCAATTAATTTATGATTCTATTGACATCTTCGTCTTTGAGTTAATTTTCAAAGTATACATCTACTTACAATACTTATCGGATAAATATTCTTTATGTGAATGATATACGATATGAAAGACTATAAAGTACGATCAGTAGCAGTTGACGACTACCTCTTTAAATGAAATCCATTATGTAACATGTTTTCATTGAAACAAGAAGACAGTATTGTCAAAATATGCGAGACTGAAACAAGTTTATAATTCATTTTATTCTTTGATCAATCATGCATTACTATTGATGTTATTAATCTCAGATCTAACGTGGTTGAACTCTATCAGTCTCGGGTTCCTATCGAAACTTTGGGAATTCTTTACGAAACTAGTTAGTAGTGAGCACTTTAGAGTGGAAAGGCTCTTCTGTTTGGAGATAATTTCCATCACAGAATGATATTTTTAAAAACTGTCGAAAGCTAGAAAACATTGAACAGGTGTTACGTTTTTCTAATAGGGCTGCTCAACAATGCGCTCGCGAAACCTCCCCTAAAGATCGAAATAAATACCTTCGAATCTCGCACTGATCTCGCTTATTCCATACTATTGAGTTACCCGAACGTTTTGAATAGTCGACTATAGGCCAGCGTATGGCTTACCACCTTATTCACTGAGTACTGTTAGTATGAAATTCCTATGGATTGTACTTCAAAAAGTCAAATTATGGAGGTTTAAGTATTATAATGAAGTGGTTATAATTGGATATTTCGAGAAAGATATAGTGCTTTGTCATGTTGATTAACTAGTAAATTCCGATTAGTTTTAATATGTCGATAGCGGAACAGGGTATGATTATTTTATTGGCATAAAATTATTGAAGCATATCTAGCTTTTCATACCATTTATACGTCATAGTCTCCGTTTTCAGTCTATATTTTTTTCAAATCTATAAACTGAATGCATGTTCAATTTTTTAGCTCTGGTTTGATTCCTACAAAATTAGCTTACTTTTAATATATCTTCAAAATACTGTTAATTTGACTTGGTATTTTTTGTTGTTGTGGAAAATATTCACATTTGAACTATATTCAATCTGGTGTAACTATTGCAATATCTACAATTTTTTTACCAGTTCCCTTATTCTTTTTTTCCCGTAGACTGTGCTTGTACACAGCATTGAAAACTACCTTCTTTCTTCTCTGTTTTCTATTTCTCTTTTTCCGTTAAACGCTGATGTAGGTAGGTATATATGTAGGTGTTGATGGTAGTGTCAATGTTTTTCTTCTCTTCAAATTTCAACCTACCTGCTGGTGTGCTTGTGTATCAATAAGTAAATATCACTGTGTACCAAAAACAATCAGTTACTATTATGTACATTAGCCAAAAATAAGTTTTCACCATAAAAATGCACATGTGTATGTATGCATAAATGTGTTTACAATTTTAAGAACCAGAATGTCTAACCTGTCCAATCACAAATACACAAAACAAATGTCACAAAATATTTTGATTGGTTCTGACAAAAAGTATCAATTTTTTTCTCGAAAACTTTCTGTTTTTAGTTTTTTTGTTCTCTATCGATCAGCTTTTTGTATTTCGTGTAGTGAAAAAGGGGAAAGCATTGTTGGACAGTAAGGCTGTAATTATAACAAATATATATTGATATATAAATATACAATAACAGTTGTATAAGCAGATTAACTAGCTAGATTTCTCTCTACTTTGCATTTTTAACGTGTTTTTTCTTGTCTGTTTTGACTTGAGTGTGTATAGATGAAAGTTCACAATCCTCTCCTTACCTTTTTTTATAAGAAAATAAGCATTTTATAGTAAACTACTGTTTAATTTGTCCAGTATATTGATTTCGTGCATAATCTATTTATCCATAGGCTGTAACATTAAAATTCAACAGAGGATACTTTGTAATAACAACTTGTTTACTTCTATTTAGACGTTTAAGCGATAAAAGAGTTTGATGTTAGAGTTGAAGTATATACATTTCAGTTGCTCTTTTTACTCACTGTTATTAGTTATTTTTACTATATTATATGTGCTAATGGAAATTAGTTTTACTACTTTTTTAATGTTTAATTTAAGTAGTGTAGTGACCAAGTGGAAAAAGCAACGTGTTACCTTCAATCCTGGTATCACAATTTCAAAACACTTCCCAATCTACTTCCGTTTTAATGGTTGAATCATTAACTCGTTTAAAAATAAACATTTATGTACTTGAGTTGGAACTATACTGTTTATAGTGAGGTCTAATGATTCTTCTACCCGCTCCCTGAGCTAAAGTACGTTTAGTGCAGTCGCAACTAACTAGCTGAAAGTTGAGTTCTTTACCCAGTGAACCAAGTATCCTTATAGCTGTGTAGATATCTGTTCACTTAGTTACAGGGGTTTATTGATAATTACAGTGATTTTACTATTGTTTCAAGCGTATTTTTTAACTGTAAATCATTATCGTTTTATCTGAAGTAATATCACTATTGATTTAATCTTATTTCTGTAGTGTGGAAAAAACTGCCCTACTTGTCAGGAAGTTACTTCAACACCAGAGCAAGGAAGTCTACAGAAATGCGTAAATAAATCCGAATCTTATTCAGAGTCCAGAACAACTATCTCTTCTTCATTGCTTGTACGGTTCACTAGACACTTTGCTTTTTTCATTACTAGTCATTGGAGTATACAACTGTGTATATGCTTATTAGGTCTTGGATTATTTTGTGCAGCTGTGCTTTGTGCAACTTTTAAACTACGCCTAGGTTTGGATTGGTCCAGTTTAACACCTTCAGATACCATTGAATATGGATTTATAAAAACGGCGGGTCAAGCCTTTGGTTTGAGTAATTTTCATATTATTGCTCGCGGTTCTGATCTACCCGGTTCTCGGCCGGTATCTAGTCAGTCACTAACACAATATACAACTTTATCAGCTTCCAGTGGAACTTCTACCCGATCCCGCGTAAGCTTGGCTACTGTCGGACGAGGGATAGACTTTCCAATGCAACAGCGCCGTCTACGTTGGATGTATGACTGTTTAACTGGTGTTTCAGGCGTTATGTTATCTGGACGAAAGGTGTGGCTAGATACAATGCGTGATTGGTTGGAAGAGGTACAAAATGCATTTGATAAAGACCGTAAACGAGGATACATTACGGATAGTGGACATTGGAATGCCAACGCAAGTGAACTTGGTATTCTTGGCTTACGATTAATCGTTCAAACTGACCGTGGTCCTGAGTTAAGCAGAGTGAGTTTTTTCAGCTAGTTACTATAAATTTTTGCAAATGGTTTATTCACCTTATCATGGATTCATGACTTCCGTCTTTCTTTTTCTTCTCAGATTAATACTGGTCGCATAGTACGTGGTGGTATAGTAGATCCACCAGCTTTCTATACACTATTACGCGTTTGGCGTTCCAAAGATGCTTTGAACTTTTCTTCTCTACCTTGTATTATTTACCCAGAACCAAGCATAGTTCATGTAGGTCGTTTAACTGGTCCTGGACGCCCTTCGGATCTGCATGCATTATCTCCGGCTGAACCAATCGAATTTGTTCAAACAAGCTTTTACGCTGTAGGTGTTAGCGAAATGAATTCACAGCTTGATTTAGTTCAGGTAATTGATTTGATTATTCTTTCATATCAATTATTTTTATGAATCGTTAAATATTGTTTATAGTTAGTGTAAATTTATTTCTTGATTTATTTAAAACCTTATTGTTTTTCCTTGTAAATGCCTTCAATTTCAAACTGTCTAAATATATTCCTAGCATAATTTAATTGCTATAAACGACCTAAATAATCTTTACTGGACTAATACTAGTTAAAACACTAAAAAGACAATGCGAAATTTTCCGTTTCAACTCATTGCTTGCGCTTACTCCTATTGAGAATTATCGACAAAGTGAACACTTCAAAAGCAAACACGACAACTGTTCACTATCTCAATTGGTTATTTTGTTTGATGTTTAAATATAATTAAAAGTTCTAACTCATCAAGACATACATAGATTGTGTTGGTATGTAGTGGAATTTCTTCGAGATAATTCCTACGCTTGTGTATATCACTCAGCCTTATAACCGTTATTCAATGCCTCTCAACAGTGATCAACCATACATGTTCGTAAAAGCATGGAGATAATAACATACACATGTCAACAAATCGCTACTGACAAAATGACACTTTCTAATGAATAGATTAATTAAATGGTCTAATAAACTCAAACGTCTACATATTCAATTATAAGTAAGAGTGTTATAAGTATATGTCAATTTATACGAATGAGTGATTGTCGTAAGTTTGAATCTTAACAAAATATCATGATAACAGTCGAATTTATCCATCCACCTTAAACTGTGTAGTGTTGTATACACCTTTTATGTGAATAGATATAGGTAGTATGTAACAGGTATAGGAATTGTAATGCTTACCAGCATAAGATTAAAATATAGAGAAGAGGAAGGAAAACATAGAGCAATCGGAATAACAACAGGATTGGAAGTATGATGGGTTATGCAAAAGACAGCTCAAGGAAGATGTGGAGATGATGTATTTAATGTATGATTTTCATATTTTTTTAATCAAGCAATAGATTGGTTTACCATACCTGAGTAAGTTATTCTACGCGCATTTGTTTAATATTTATAACCTTTTTTCCTTTATTTTCTCTGTATGCAGCAAATTCGACATATTACAGAAACTGCAACCGTCCAAGGTGTTCCAGCTTTTCCTACTGGTGTTCCGTTTACATTTGTTGAACATTATATTTATTTGGTTCGAGAGACAGCAATCGCTTTCGGCATATTTTGTACTGTAATTCTGTTTACTGGATTAATTTTATTCTCGTCTCCGATTACTGTTTTGCTTCTACTTATAATTGGAGCTGTTGGTGGAGCATGTTCCGCGATCATTGGTTTAGTTATTCTTAATTTGGCTTTAAATCCTATTTCTGCTTGTTTGTTATTAGTGTCCAGTGGTTTAGGGGCTAGGATATCTGTTGGATTTCTTGGATCGTGGCCAGTATCTCATTTGTATACAGATTCATCTTCGAATCGGTCAACTCGTAAAATATGCTTATGTCAATCTAATTCATCATATGGATGTACGGTATCTGATTCAGTTCAATTTTGTACTCGTGTTCAAAATCCCAAATATGATTCCAAACAAATTACACTGTCTAAATCACCTTCGTTTGCTCTTAATACTACTATTACCGTTTCGGAACGTCGTCAACTAGTTAGGGGTCAAATAGTTCGTATACTGAGTAATCATTTTACTCCAGCTTTTCATGCTACAGTTGGACTTTTGCTAGCATTATCTTTACTCGTTGCTGCTCGTGTACAGTTTATAGCTGAGTAAGTTCTTTTTTATCTTGATAGTAATAATGATAATTTAATAATTGTCATCCCTTAGTATTTTTCAATGGTTGTGTTTTATTTATTTATTTAATTTATTGAGTACATAAACATTGGTACAAAGAGTCACCAAATACATATGCGTCACACAATAACAATGAAAATATGAAGAGAGAATGTAAAGTGCATATAAAAAAAGGAACAATAACAAATAGAAATTGGTGTATGATAGTGAAATAATAATAATAATAATAATAATAATAATAATAATAATAATAATAATAATAATAATGGGAGAGGCAGTTCAGTTAGCAAAGGTACAATCAGAAAGAATTCTTCCAGCTAAAGAAGTTACGTCCATTTTTATGAAGAAAGTAAAAGAAAATTAGAGCAGGATCGTCACTGGCTTCTATTCTGAGTCGTATCTGATAAAATCTTAACTCGCTGTGTTGCATCATCTCTAGGATCTCAACCAGGGAGTCATGAAGGACCAACAGAAGCCATTCCTGTACAGCATTCTTTCATACCACGACACCATGTCATACAGTGACCACCTCTCCGCTTTTTCCAAGCAGTCCCAGCGTCGACAAATAACGCACGACGTGAAATTCTCTGGGACGACATTCGTAGAACATGTCCAAGCCGCCGAAGTCGATGTCTCAAGATGGCGATACTTTGAATTATCGTCACTGTGCCCGAACACGTGTTGCCGGACCTCTGTACTATTAACATGGTGTTGCCACTGAATGTCAATAATCCTTCGGAGACAACGATGAACTAACACAAAAAGTCATCACCCTCAACTCGAAGAGGCCAGGTTTTTAAAGATAGGGACAATTATAGACTCATTCCTTGATGCTGGAACACACTCTCACTGACAAACCCTTGTAAACAAATCAGATAGTGCCTTAACCAGAAAGTTACCACCATCTTTAAAAAGAGCCGGAGGTAAGTCATCAAAGATAAAGGAACTTTTTAGTAGTCCCATTTGTTGTAGCTGTTCAATTATCATGTTATCTCTAAAATCCTCTGTGGACTGACCATACGTGAGCATCAGGTACTGAAATTGGCGTCATAACCTTGAAACCCTTCAAACTATTCTGACTGTCTCGTCCATAAATTATAGTCTCGCTTTATATCCCTTTAATAAGTTGAATATTTTTCAATCCATTTTTTAATTGTCACTGTAGGGTCATGGAGTTTTTTTCATTTTATTGAACCGATCAGTTTTAGACCGCCATTGAAAACGTTGAAGCACTGGATGATTGCTTTGCCTTAATATGTGACTTCCTAACAGTGCGCATACACGACTTTGGACGCGGGAATCGAAACCAGTGCTTTTGGTCATGCGGCCGGACGCTTACTATCTAGACCACTGAGTCAGCATCTACTTTAAATTGGCTACTTATCTAATAATTTTTTTTGTGTGTATATATTTTGATAAACATCGGAAAAAATTAATCTTTTCATTTTTTGAATGTTGACATATAAATTAAAGTTGTTTTTTAGTTTCTGATTAAAATAAGCTTATGTATTCTATTGAAGCTTGCTTTTGCTCTATTAATCAACCACTTCTCAATGTGAAATTGATCAGAGTGAGTTTTTCATTCTTGAATCACAAAATATAATATGATACCATGTACTAGTTATGGTGTATTACTTGGTCGATGCATTCTGTACCCAGATAATTTTATTGATCGAAAGGATTTTCATATAAAATTTAAAAGGACGGTTTTTTGCGGGAAAAAAAGTAGGAAGCTATGTAGAACTTCCTATTTTGAATGTTCAACATAATGAAGATATTTTTACTGATGTTAATCATCTGTTTTATTTTCTGTGCCCGATCCAACATATTGATTCTGCCTCAACTCACCATGTGTTAATCTATTTACTTGTTAAACTGATCATTGTGATTAGTTTGTATGTTGTAGTTTATCATTTAATCACCATTTCTTAATTATAGCGCATAAATCTTTTTTCTTCTATATTCTTTTCTTTTTTACAGTTACTTTTTCCGTCTGATCGTTATTGTTAGCTTTGTTTGTTTATTCAATGCTGTGTGTTTAATACCAACTATCTGTTATCTGATTGGTCCATTTCACAGCCGTGTAAGTACCTCTTTTTAAAATAAATATGTATATTAATTGATAAAATTTTGCAGTAATGATTGCTTTTGTCTCTGGTATGATGTGTCGTTGTTTTCTGCCAATGTTTTGTTTGCTTCTTAGTTTTGGAAAGAACATATGCAACAGTGATCAATATTTACCAAACTGTCGACTTTAAATTAGGTACTTATACAATAATTGTTCTATGTATGTGTATTGTGAAAGAAATAGGGAAGAAAAGAACCTCATCAACATAATTGTTTATGTGATGCTTCAAAATTTATTGATCAATTTCCTGTTTGTAGTGTTCCACAAGTCTTTTTGGAGGGAGATAAACAAGATCTTTTCTCGATCCCGGAAGAATTTGTTTTACTCTGTTGTAGTTAGCATGAAGCAAATAAATACAATTGATGGGTAATAGCAAAGCTGCCGTAAATATAGTAATAATAATAATACTTATTATTATTATAACTAAATACATATGTATTTATGCATACTCATAGTTGTAATAGCTTGTTATTGTTAGATAATTTACCATCAAAAGATATCTTACAATACAGATCGAATTTTATTTAAAACTAAGCATTTGATATGCTAGAGCTTTGGACATAATTACTTTACTCTATTATGCGTGTTATATCTTTATGCCCGATTAATTATGTTACCTGATACGACACCGACTTATAGGATCAAACTAATGACGCATAAAGCTGTACAAGCAGCCTAAAGTTCTTATTGGTCCTCCAAAATAATAGCTTCTGTCATAACCCAGCCGGCTTAGTCCAAAACGTCAATATTAGCCTCCGAGTTACGAGTCATATATTTCAGACATACTGGGTTTATATACATCAGACCATAAAAGAGAAAATAACAATTATACAAGATCAAGACAAAAAGTAGCTGTAATTGTAAGAGACTGTTACTAATAAATTGAGAATATCTTAAGAATAGTAAATCATATGATAATAGTCAACAAGTCAAATGGAGGTTTATCATAAGAGGAATATGAATATACATATAATCTAGTTACTTAACAGTTATACAACAAGAATATTCGTATCATATTAGTCCATAAGTAATTCTTAACGGTTACCATTCATTTATTCTCGCCCGGATATCACAATGTGATTCCGCAATAGCATGCATATAGATAACATCTTGATAAACATTAAATTGAATACTTTCGTGTATGGCGGCAAGCGTGTTAATTTCAATTCATATAATTGTCTTCTAATAGCTGAAATGTTCAATTCCAATCACCTGGTAATATTGCACTATTGTAATGCAATATTAGTCAATTAAATAAAATATTTGAATTTAGTTGACTTAAAGCTATAGTTCTTGTATCGATGTTCTTTACATAACAGAATTTAAATTTGTATTCCAATAGTTCCAAAGTATTTATTTAAAGTTATACTTCTCAAGACCATTTTCTAATGTGATATAGTGAGTAAATTCTATTTGAAATCTTTGCTAAAGCATGTAATCTTTGGTTTTCCGAAGAGTGGTAAGTTTGGTTGTGTGATTATCCTGTTCTCTAATTCATTAATCTATCATTCTTTTTCTAAAGTATGAATTAAATCCTTTTTTGTGTTGTGGGATGATATATATAGCTAGGGGCGGCCAGACCAAAACATGGCAAAAGTCCATGAAGTCACTGACAAGTGGTCTGAGTCATGTTGATAGGTATAGACTACGTGGTTGGGGACGGCGAGATGATAGCAACCGATGGTTAGAGACCCTGAATGACATGGCTCAAAATCGTTTGCAATGGCGCAGGTGCATCCACTCTTTGTGTTCTCCCAAATTCTAATCTTCTGAATTCTTCATGTCCCTTTTTTCCTCTTTCCAAATTTATTTCACTGAATTATACTCTTTAAATAACATCTCCAAACCCTAATCTTCCCGATCACTGCTTACACTCTTGCTACCTCTACCACTACGGGATTTGAATCGACAACTGCATCTCTGTGTTAAGGTGGTGTGGCAACTCGAATTGATGTACGTACGTACGAAGTTCTACGTTGTTACTGACTGACTGACTGATGATATAATTAATTCCAAAATTACACATATAGGGTACTCGTCATTTATTGTTTACTGATATTTCTTACTCTTTTATTTTTTATACGACTCCTTCAGTTAAAACTTACTATTCTACCGTATTTTACATTTTGTAAATATGTTTTAATTCTTTTAAAAGAATATTTCACTTATCTTTAAAAAAGCCTAGACACTTCGTCATACGCGTTAATAAATCTTTCTAACATTCCAATTTCTAATCATTATATTTTCTACATGTTTTCATATAACCTTATCAATACATCAATTCTGTCAAATATATATTGGATATGATAAACGGAATATAAAATTAACCGTAAGAAACATAATTACAAAGAATATGATATTATTCAAAGAACATTATTTGTTAGAATGTTCTGGTCAAAACACTATATTTTTCCCTTGAGTATTAATAAATAGTAGCAAATCAATTTAGAAGTTATGACGTGCCTTCTCTTAGAAAAAATTTACATGATAAGTTATGACTAGACTATACCAACTTCAATAATCATATTGTATGATTCTATCCTTAGTGGAGAGATGATAGTTGGGTAGTAGTTATCTTAATAAATTGTATAGTTTAATTAATAATTTTTAAAAGGTCACTACATAGAGTGAAAAATTTTCAATACTATACCTACGTTTGGTAGTAATTAGTAAGTATTTTGAAGAATTCTTTTAGATTAGAATTAACTAATAGCGTTCAACTTTTTAACTTATTCTGACGGAATACCTATCATAAATTGATTTTATTTTATGTAATTCTAAGGAGTACAAGTAAAGTTTAATGTTTCGTACTTTATCAATTCTTTTCCCTAAAATCCACAACTAATAATTTATTGAATTCGGTGTTCATCTTGCTGTGATAATGAGGTATGGCAACCTGGACCGATGCACATATGTGCCTGGTCCTACGTTGTAGCTGACTGACTGAATAATTTATTGTGATAAATATTTCTGTATATGTATACTAGCGAAAGTAGAAAATGCTATAACTTACTGTATTATTTCATTACAAAATTCATTGTTGTGGCGTTTGAACATTTACGGTTCTTCTAATATCTATTGTGTCTTGAAGTTTGGGTCAACGGTAATTTCTAATTAATAATGATCGAAACTTCCTAAATATGAATGCAAAATAATGGGAACGGTATAATACAGCAACTGATACACAAAACACCAAACAATAAAACCCAAGAATAAGTCAAGAGTGTAGGAAAAGCTTGGTATTCAGTAACAGTGACACACAACTGTGGAGCACAGAAAAATCAACAAACTGAAAATGATGTCAACCAATCAAAAACATCAAAGGTCTTCCGAAAATATGGAGTCAGAATAACAACAGCTAAATAATTTGAGGTCATCCTAGTAACATTATTACCCAGATATCGAGAATTTTCTGTTATAAAATTATTGACAAAATCCCACTTTTTTCATTATTTAACACTTAAAATTGATATCAGAGTGAAAATACACGTTCTGGATTCTCTGAGTTGGATTATTCAGTTATACAGTTATTCATGTATACAGTGGGCGTTGATGATGTTCTCGTCGTCCAGAACAGCAGTAAAAAGAGACTGGAACTAAACCATATAGTTCAGAAAACAGCACATAAAATTCATCTCATTGATCCATTTTAAACGTGATTACACATTAATTTAAACATTGATTCTTGAAGTCGATAGAGACTTATTTGTTGCTTGTAGTCGTGTTTGTTATTGTAGTAGTCGCTATTTTATCTACATTAGCCTATAGAAGTGATAGAATCGAATAAAAAGTATTCTAGTTTTTTTTTAGCGACTGTCAAAATACCTTATGTCGATTAGCTTTTGTTGGCATACAATTCCCATTTAAACATTAAAAACACGAAGTTCAGCGAAGGGATCTTTTTTCAACGAATTTATTATCAAGCTGTACAATCGTACGATAACGATGAGACGTGCTTCTTTTGTACGCACGATTCTTGTATGGTTAAGTCTTCTGCCACTTTAAGCAGTTGAATACGAAGAAATCTAGGTAGATTTAGACGAATTCTATAAACAACCATAAAATCAAACTTTGGATCGATAGGATGATTAGGGTTTGTTAAATGTTCAAGAGGGGAACTTCTAACTGTTTTCCTCTCACAGGTTCTCGTATCGGAGTTGAAAATAAGCACTGGCTACGACTTATGTGCCTTGCTTCACAGGAGCAGGTAAATGGGTAGCTGCACATGGAGACGACCAGTTGGGTAAGCTTATACTTTACGGATGCGGAAAATAGGTTCCTACTATTGAAAGTTATTCGCAGCTTTGCTGCATAAAACATACTTTTTATCGCTGCCGCTAACTGACTTTTAATTAAATCAGAAGCTTAGTCACCTTTAAATTCTAGATTCATATGAAGGTATTTATTTGAAACGGAATTTCCAGATTCTTTGTCCCGACTTCTTTTTCTCATATTCTTCTCTATGAAGTGGCTTGGATAGCCGTTTGCTTTTACTCATTCATTTCACCTGTCCATAGAGTCGTATCTCAAGTTACAAGTTGGTTTTTTTCCAAAAAATTCTCATTTCTTATTAATTGTTAAACGTTCTTTTTTTTAAATTATCTTTTTCATACTGAAAAAACCAGTTCATACTTGGACGACGTAATTTGTCGAATATTACTTCAACATCACATAAATCACCAATACAACAAGACGATACTAACTATCATTCTCATCTTTCTCCAGCAGTGAATAAAACTATTCACTATCTGAAATGTCATCCATCAGAAATAAACTTTAATTCTGAACAACATCATATCAATATGATAAATGATTCACAGTCATCTTTTTCAAGTTCACCTTCTAATATGTCCCCAAGTCTATCATCACCAAGTTCTTCTCGTTCATCCAGTTCCTTTAGTCATTCAGAACAAAATCATAATGATGAATCCAGTCAAAATATGAAACTCTCTAGTAAAACAGAATCAATTTATAAAGAGTCTAGCTGTTTAACTGTGAAAGAATCACCAAAAGATATTGTTCATCATGGTTTGAATTACTCAAATGATCATTCTACATGGATAAATCGTTCGAGTGAACAATGTTCTTCAAATGCTGCCGCTACGGCAGCAGCGGCCGCTGTTGTTGTTGCAGCTGCAGCCGCCGCGTCTGTTCGATCTCGACCACCTAGTTTAAGTACTATTTCAGAAGAACCTTCTCATTCCAACTCAACTGTAAGTTTAAATCATACCACTCCACCGAATAGTGGGAATGGTTCTGGATGTAATAGTACTGGTAGTAGTATTAATAATAATAATAGTAGTTATTTGCCAACTTTTGAAAATGAAGATATTTCATTGAATCCTACTGCATCTTTTAATTCTGTCGGTTCGATAAAAAACTACTTTATATCACAAAATCTGCCACTTAGTCTTGTCACCTCAGTTGATCTTATCAGGATGAGCAGACTTTTAAATCCAAATATTTCTGCTAATGAGATATGCGAAAGTTTATGTAACTCAATTACATCTCCTGCCCCTTCCAATATTCATACGTCTGTTAAAAGCCATCGAACTAGTAAGAACAGAGAATTGGTCTTAGATCCAAATGTAGCATGTACATTATTGGCAGCTGTAACGGCAACTAGTTATCAAACTGCAAACAAACCAGTTGTAGAGGTAACACCTGTTGGACACAATGAAAATATCCCACCTCCTTCATATTCAAGTGTAGTTAACCAATCTCACTCTATCGGGCGTGATAAATCCTCCGAACGCATATCAGTTTCATCTCATCAACAAAAAACTTATAGAGGTCATAATATTTCTACCCGTGTATCAGATAACGAGATATCTGTTAAGTCATTTGCAGATAATTATGAGATCTCTGATCCTACTACACAATTGGCTGCCAATAACAATATTTTTCAGCCTAATTCTCACACTACCTCATCATCATCCTCATCAAAAACTTTTAAGACTAATTATCACCATTTAAGAAAGAAAAATGTATCATTAGTATTTTCATCTCCTACTCATATACATCAAACTACACCAGTAAATACAAGCTCAAACTGTAAAATCTCACAATTACCTAATACCGGTTCAAATTCTTCAACTACACATTTGAATGTAAATATTTCACATTCATGTCATAATCATAGACACTGTTGTTCTAATTGTTTAATTACTCATTGTAATTCAAGGTCAATAAATGATGATTACAATAGTGGCAGCAACCTCAATGCTAATGCCAATATTCATCATCAAGGTACTAGTCACATTGTTTTATCGGATTCTAATTCAGATAGTCAAATTAAAAAATCTCACAATACTTAACATAATTATATGCAAGTTATATCCAATTGTATAGTTATATGTACGCTTTCAACATATCTGTATTCCCTACTCTAAAACACTTTGTTTTTCTACAATTTATTTGTCTTTTAAAATTCTATACTTATGATGTATTTCTTTAAGTTATATATGCATTTTGTACAGATTTGTATGTTTCATAAAAACCGTTTAAAAATCCTAATAGTTATGTTTACCTTTTTCTTTGTAATAGTTTACCACTGGTCTTTATTTTCACGTAGAATGTTTATTTCGATTAACATTGTTTCTAGCCACTCCCCCTACACGTTTTTGTTGCCTAAAATGTACAGTTAAATTTGCTTACTCCAACTTGTACGCTCCTGTTCTATCGCTTACAATTTATCTAGGAATTAACTTATTCAGTGTACATAAATTACAGTACTTGTTGTTAAGCACAATTATCGTTTATCTAAAGTCTTTTCTCGCTAATCTTTTATCAGTTTTCTGTTATATGTCTTAAGTTTTTTTTCTTTATTAAATTGGTCGTTTTATTTTCTCGGGATTATTCAGTTGAATTATCTTTTAAATGAAATTAGTGTATTTATAAGTTTATTTTTGACTGATATAGGTATACTTGATTTCACTGTAATTGTTGGTATTCAATACGGTCTGCTTTTCAATTATTGAATCCAGCTATATATATAAATATCAAGGCCATGTATAAAGTCAATTTTTTATACGTTTTATTTATGTAATTTTGGTTATTTCATTCAATTTAGTTTTCCTTAAAACAAAACTGGTTACTCGTGAAGTGATCGAAAATTCTTTTTGCTGTCTCAGTAGCTTATGTTTTTACTGTTATTAAGGAATAGCGATTTTTTTCTTGTATCTTTTCCATAGCCAATTACTTACCTATAGTCATATTCTCTTTATTCTTTCCGCGTTTTTTTTCTGTTTTTCAAGTTCATCGTTTTCCTTTTATCCCTTGTTCTCTATGTTGATTTCATAATTTTGACTAATTATCGTTGCATTTTTTCTAGATTTCCTTCTATTCAACATTTATATATCCATAACGTACTATTGTTGTATCTTATTCATGTGTTCCTTTTTATCTTATTTATTTATTTCAAAAAAATCTTATTCCCTGTAAACAGTTAAATGTATTTTTCTGTGTACATACTCATGTATACATAAGTAACTAGTGTTTATATTTTCGTTGAACTAGGCATTTTATTTTATTGTTTTATTATTCTGTTTTCTTATTCCTTCTTGTTTTTTTTCTCTCACTCATAATTTAAACAAATATACATATAAATAAATATTCAATTGTGTTATTTTTGCTTAAGTAATTTATTTCCTTGCCTTTTATTCTCTTTTTTTTTTAAAAAAATACTTTTTGAGGTTTAATTTTAGCCGAATAGTTAAATAATAAATTGGTATATTTATTGTTTATAGAGTAGTTCAACTTGTATATTATTAGAGAAAATAACAAAGAATTCTTCGATGGTATTGGTTTGTAAACTAAACCTACATTATTGATGATACCATGTTGATTAACTAACGGAAGAAAAAATTCGGATATACACTTCTATATGTAGAAAAAGGGAAAACATCTTTAACATTTGATCTTCATCTGTTACAATCGACATAGAGATATAATATGATTACTTATTTTAGTATTCTAGTCAATAGTAAGAAAGTATTGTGTAAAATTGGTTATCTGACATTAAATCGTTGTAGTTCTTTTGTTCAATATTGAAATATTCTAGGATTATTTCTTTTAATAAATAATTACATATGAATTAAAGGGATTAATGGAAGTTTATGGTTAATTTATAATTTATTAATTAAACGGGTGATATTTTCTGGTTCAAGTGTAGCCTGAAAGAAACGTAAGGGCGAGTAAACCAAAACATGACATTAATCCAAGAAGTCACTAACAAGTGAACTTAGCTATGTTAATAATTATAGATTTTCTGTTTGGGATCTGCGTGATTATCGTAACCAATGATTAGAATCTTTGAATGACATGGCTCAAAATCGTTTGCAATGACGCAGGTGCATTTATTTTTTGTCTCTTCACAAATTTTAAGATTCTTAATTCCTCATAACTTTTTGTTCCTATTACACTAATTTATATTTTCTTTTCGGGCCATATCTTCAATCCCTTATCTTTTCATATTGCCACTGATGCAGTTACATTCTTGACTGCGAATGTATCGGCTATTTTGTAAATGCGATCTGAAATCGAGGGAGTGAATTATTACATAGCCTTTGACTTTGAGTTTCACCTTATAAGTCTTAATAATTAAACCTGAACCGGTGACCAATAAAGGTAAGAGCATATTATGTGACGTAAGCTGTTAAGTGTCAAGAGAAGTCAGTTATAGTCAATGTAGATCCTGGAATAAGTATCTATCCGAATTGTAACATTTCACAACAATACAAAGTACAAAAATTTAGAATTAAATAAGCATAAAATGACGCAGTAATAACATTCAATGAAGACGAAGATTTTCAGAATTATGTGATACATTAGCGCAATATATTTCGAACAATCTGATCGCACATATACTTGTTAAGAGCATTTATATATAAAAATAAAAAGTCAACTAGACTGGAAATGGGGTAAGAGGAGATAAGGATAATAAAAAGAGTAATAATAATGTGAACACAATTCGAAACCTAGTCACTCTGGATAATAAGTCAATATTACCAGCGTAGGTTTAAGGTAAGAACAAAGTGTTTTGGAACACGCAGACGGGGTTTGAATTTTCGTATGGCTAAGGCTTCAATAAACCTTAGTATACGCCTTTATAAGCAAAGATGGATAATGGCTAGCAGTGGAATCCAGGACGCGCGTTTCGTCCTATTTGGGACTCGGCAGCTGGATGTATCTGCATCTCAGAGTTGATGTTCACTCTGAGACTCGAACCCGAGTCCCAAATAGGACGAAACGCGCGTCCTGGATTCCACCGCTAGCCACTATACATCTTTGATTATAAAAACTTGTGAATTAAGGCAATATCGAGACATACACACAGTATGCACATATGTCAATAACAGACTGATCAATTACTGTCTTAAACCTCAATGGGAAGATACAAGCAAAACAATACCAAGTGAACTTAGTATACGCCCTTTTACACTTTTATACAACACCACAAAGCCGAGTTTAGATTAATCTTATGGCCTGTTTCAATTATATGTTTGGCAATAGAGGATGATGGATGTTTATCCTCTGCTTTTATTAGGTCACTTGATTGTATTTGTTTCTGCAGCCATTTTGGTACATGTTCACACACCCTAATATTGAGATCACGATTGCTCCTCCCCATGTATGTGTGACCACACACACATTTAAATTAATAAACACAGTGGGATGTGACACAACCGTTTTCATGTCTTATAGGTTTTGGATGGAGCATGCACCTTGTTCTTTCTTTGATAATGACCTTTGCTGCGCAATACGTTTTATTGATGACTGATTCAATTATTTGTTTCAGTAAAAGGCTACTTGAATCACCTTTGAATGGTAAGGTGATGTAGACAGGTTTCTTTCCACCAAGGCTACAGTAGGTATCATTGTACTATGTACTTTCCATCTATTTATGAATTTCAGTGGATAGTCATTTTCTATTAATGTTTTATTAAGCAACTTAACATCATCAATGGCATCATTTGCACAAATACGATCAAGCTTGTTGAAAAGGCACCTTATAAAACAACGTTCATAAAGTCATTCATGTATTGATTTCATCACTTATGGCTTTCTAGCATAGTATCTTGAATCAAAGTGTGACCTAATATTTGTAGCACATATCTTCACAACCCTGGTCGTTGAAGGTGTATACACTCCAGTCTTTCATTTTCAACTAGTACTGTGAGCCTAACTTTGTTGCTACTCAGTGGTTCACGAGTAAAGTTTAATAATGGTCGAATGTTAACGATTAACACACGTTTCATACTTCTATAAGATTTTTCAATGTTGTGAAGTAATGCATAACAAAAAATATGCAGTATATACATTTTTTAATAGGCAGACTGACATCATCTCTGAGTGACAGGTAATGTCATATAGCTATTGCCATAGAGGAATTTAATATCCGAGATCTCACCAACACACCTGAATTGATGAGAATTACAAATAAAGTCGCCAACACACTGGGAAGGTGCGTATCCCAAAAATTTTCACATCTTCACTCAAGGCGTTCAGCGTTTTCAAATAGAAATATATTATTTTCGTACTATTGATGGTATAGTCTTGGGATGTGCTATATCTAGACGCATCTCTGCAGTCTATATATAATGTATGTTATAAACATAAATGACCGTAGAAGTAAATTTGGTGAGAAAACTTCTGAAAATTAAGTAAACAGTTAATCACTCAATAAAACATTCTTCCATCTATATTTTGAATGCCAACACATTAAATGGACATTGTACTAAAATTCATTTAAATATTGTATGCTTTTGTTGAACTTATTTTTACTGCAACCATATCTTATAATAACAAAAGTAGATATTATTATTATTAATTGCTAGTTTTTAATCGTGACATCGGAATAAATAACTGTTTAGAGAGTCCATTTCAATAAAGCTAATCAAAACAGTCTATAATTACAATCCAAATAGGTTTAACTACCCAATATTTTAACTACAGAATAATTCTTATCCACAAGTCTCCAAATTCCCTGGTACAGCCGAGAGTGGGGGACAGTCAGATCTCCCTCTCGAAATGTTCTCACATGGCCACGTGCATACCACTACTGCCAGGGAAGTCCTACTCACTGTCTTCTCGCCGTGGGTTTGTTTTTTACGAAATTCAGAGGATGAAGATCGAATATCCAGAGCTTCAACCGGATTGTTGGAAACGGAGAGTCCACCTAGGGCAGTTGGAAAACCCTGATTCCAAACCAATGGCGCACAAGGGCTTCAGGATCTTGAAGAAACAAATGGCGTATGAACCAATCGTTGGTCACCGGCATCTCCTGACGTTGCTCCACTGCTTTGTGGATTAGAACTTCAGGTCAAATGCTCCACGTGTGGCCCCTTAAGAAAACCACTTGTTTTGGTTTGGGCATCCGGGGAGTATCCCAGCTCTCACAGTGATCGAATGATTTATATGGCGCATATCTATTTGGTGCCTCCTTATACCAATGTTTATATGTCTAAATAAATAAAATCTTATCCACAAAAACATTTGTTTGAAGAAGTCTAATTTTTTTTAAATATTACATAATTCATTAAGAAACTGTATATTTTTCTCTTCTACACCTGTTTGTAAACACTAGTTAAGTAATACTTTCCCCATTCACTCTGAACACTAACTAAAATTCATCAATATTCTTATTTATTAAAGAAAATCATTCCTTGTTTCACTCTTGTAACTTATAATCTTCTATCATTTATCAAATCGTTCGATTAATTTGCGTTTTCTTTCTTTTTTTGTGTGTGTGTGTAATAGTTTCTTCTGAATAAATACCTAATCGGTAATTGATTAAAAAAACAACGAAGAAAATAACAATACTACTAATTTAGCATACAAATTTTCTAATTCTAAACTATTTCATCTTTAAATGTCAAATACAAAATTATATAATATGGAAATGTTTTTTAAACATTACAAGTAATTTATCTTTGTTTTGTTGTGTTGTTGTTCTTTTCACTTTCTTTCTTTCCCCTTTTTGTTCTTCCAACAAAGAAATTATTTTCATTAAACATAAATCCTTCATGAAAAGCAATTGAGTTTTTATGTATAATATTCTTTAGAAAAAAGCATTGTCATTGAATATCAATATATAGTATACAGTTAACCGGAAGTTATTCAGTCAGCTACAACATAGGATCAAGCATATATATGCATCGGTCCAAGTTGCCGTATCCTATTAGCACAACAAAATGAATACCAAATTCATGGAAGTAATTATTTCAATTGTAATAATATATAAAAGAAAGATTGTGTATAAGGATATAATACATGAAGAAAGAATTGGTTTGTAGAAATAAAAGTATAAAGCAATTTTGATCTCATGGTTTAAGGAGAGACAAAGAGTGTATACATCTACGCCATTGTGATCTATTCTAAGCCATGCCATACAGAGTCTCCAACCATTGGTTACGATAGTCACACGGACCCCAGCCAAGTAGTCTACATCAACCAACATGGCTAAGACTAGACGTTAGTGACTTCAAGCACTGATGCCACGTTTTCGTTTGGCCGCCCCTAACTTTCTTCCAACCATCCCCAACATCGGCTAGCATTGCACGTCGTGGTAATCGGTATTCAGGCATACGTAACACGTGGCTCAATCATCTCAGTCGGT